TAGGGAACTGAGCAGGAGTGGGTAAGAAACTTGCCCAAGGCTATTTAGCCAGTAGGTGGCAAGCTAGTCAGTACGGCTCCAAAGTACATTTCATTGAACTACTTCTATAGAAGGTAGTAATCAACACAATTGTGCAAACATCTTAATGGAATAATGCTTTATTTCTATAATATTTGATAGTTTCCCTGGAGTGGAATTACTGATGAAAAAATATGTGTAAATTTTTTATTGCTAGATTGTTTTGCAAAAAGGCAGTAACAGAACAGTTTACATTTCGACCAGCAATATATGAGAGTGTTGTTTCCTCTAGCAGTATTATCATTTAAAAAATGTACATGTACTTTTTTTTTTGCTAATCTGGTGGGTGAAAAGTGATATTTCACTGTTAAGTCTGTAGGCTTTTTGGACAGTACTGAGGTTGAGTATCATATGTTTATCAGCCATTTGGATTTGCTCTACTATAAATTGCTGTATTAGTCAGGGTTCTCCAGAGAAGCAGAGCCAAAAACATGGTTTACATGTTTATGGAGGCAGGCAAGTCCAAAATCTGCAGGGTGGGCTAGCAGGCTGGAGACCCTGAAATGAGACAAAGCTGCAGTTTAAGGCCAAAGTCCACTTGCTGTAGAATTCCTTCTTGCTCAGGGGAAGTCAGTCTTTTTGTTCCATTCAGGTCTTCAACTGAATGGCTGAGGCCCACCATAGTATGGAGGGTAATCTGCGTTAAGCAAAGTTGACTAATTTAAATGTTAGTTGTATCCAAAAGTACCCTCACAGAAACATCCAGAATAATGTTTGACCTAATATCTGAATAGCATGACCCAGTCATGTTGGCATATAAAATTAACCATCACAATTGCCTATTAATGTCTTTTCCTTCTTTTTCTATTGGATTGCTTACATTTTTTTCATATCACCTTGAACATTATTGATATTAACCCATTAAATGTGTTACAAATATTTTCCCCATTTCTCTTATATCTTGTGATTTTTTTATACTGTTTCTCATATAAACGTTTTAAATTTTAAATTATTATTTTGAATATATTATGATCAGTGAGTCACAGAGCAACTGAAATTTAGATGAAACTTACGGTGCATGTGGACACTCTTTTTTTTTTTTTTAAACATGGGGTCTTGCTCTTTGCTCTTGCTCAGGCTGGTCTCGAACTCCTGAGCTCAAGCAATCCTCCTGCTTCGGCGTCCCAGAGTGCTAGGATTACAGGCCTGAGCCACTGCAGCCAGCCCCAACAGTCTCATTTGGATAATCACTTTTGAGTTTCTAGTCTTCTGAGGAGACTTTAGGAGAGTTTTCAATATTTATTCAAAATCAGCATCTTCTGGAAACTCAAAAAA